GGCCATCTCTGCCAGCTAGCCCCGCCTCCTGGGCCGCCAGCGAGAGCCTGGCCTCCCCCGATGCAGCCCCATTGTCGGTCCCTCGCAGCCTCCCCGGGTCTCTGGCTCCAGCCAGGCTCTCCGCGGCCGGCCCTGGGGCGCTCGTCTCGGGACATGGCTGCGGGAGGCAGAGGAAGGGCAGGGGGAGACCGTCTCCCCTGGAGCACGAGCATCGACCCTTCCTCGCTCTGGGAAGCAGGGCGGGCGCCTGCGGAGCTCCCCCGGAGCAGCTGCCCTTCCCTTGCGAAACGAGTCCAGCCCTCTGGCTGCATGGCACGCACGGTACTGTCCATCCAGACCACTCCTTGCCTCCCTGCTTGGGAAGTGCCCGGATTGTTGCTACTGTTCCCAACATCTGGGCCACATGCCACCCCTGTCGCCGCCTGCTGGGGGAAGCTGCGTGCCCAGATTCCCATCCGGAGCCACCCCTCTGAGAGCCAGATCCGTCACGTGTGAGTGACTGATCCGTCCACTAGATCCAGCGGTGTCTGGGAATCGGGGCTGCCCTGGTCACCACGCCCCATCAACCGGTTAGCTGCCCTGGAAAGGGCCCCGGCTGACTCCTCCACCCCCATGGACCACACTCCTCCGTCCGCTGCGGGGTGGCTGGGTCCGATCCCCAGCCGGGTGATTGGCCCTGGGGCGGAGCAGTCCTCGTGGCTGCGTTGCACCGTGTCGGTGTGTGAAGAAGAGGAGCCCGCACCCCGGGTGTCCTTGCTGTTAAAAGCCACTCGTGAAAGCTGGCCTCTGTGGCCGGGATGCTGCACTCGCCCTGTGGCTCTTCTCCCTGTCAACAAGCCGCCGGCATCCCTCTGCAGACAAGGCAGCGTCCTCCACGCAGCTGTGCGGCGCAGACAGCTTGCAGGCCCTGTTTGCAGCACACTGCAAGACCAGGCGTGACCGGCTGCTGAAACGCGACAGAGGGAGGGGTTAGGGATATTTAGAAGACGGTTGAGAGCTGTATTTATTCTCCCTACCCCACTCCCACCCCTTTGCCTGTTCATCAGAGCAGGTAGAATTGAGGCAGCCAGCTGTACTGCCCATCCAGACCACTCCTTGCCTCCCCGCTTGGGAAGTGCCTGGATTGTTGCTGCTGTTCCAAACAGCTGGGCCATGTGCCACCCCTGTCGCCGCCTGCTGGGGGAAGCTGCAGGCCCAGATTCCCATCCGGAGCCACCCCTCTGAGAGCCAGATTTGTGCCCGGCCATTGCTGATGTGCCGTCTGCTAGCACATTGCTGGTGATGCTTCGACACAGTGTTGGAAGGTGTGTAGGCTGTAAGATCTATTTTTATTTGTCAAAGTGCATAGAGTGTGTGAGTGAGAGAGAGAGAGAGAGAGAGAGAGAGAGAGAGAGAAACCGTGTACATTCTCCAACTTTGTAGTGGTGCTTTTGTGTGTGTATTTAATAAACCAACATTATTTTCCTGAAAACTCGTTTCTGCCATTTAATTTCGACTGGCTGCATTCCCCAGGGACATCCCAACTAGTAATGGAAAAGAGGTGTTGACATTAAACCAGGCTACCCTAAGACTAACATAATAGGGGTGTGTATTTGTCATTACATGGGAAATTTCCTTTCCTCAAATAACAAAAGAACAGTTATAGTCCTTATTTCTCATGTGTTTTACTGAGTACAGTTGGCTGCAGAGTTTTTTATTTTTATATCTACTTCTTCTGTCGCTTGCACAGTCTGATGATTTTGCTGATACGAACCATTTTAACTTCCAAATGCCAAGTCACACATCTACGAAGAAAGAGCAGTAGGTCACACACATACACAGGGTGCAGTCTGGATTGTTGAACAGCTGTGTACCCTCAATGTGGGGGACCTCTTACACTGCTTCGCTGTGAGAGTTACCCCCCTTGGGCTGTTCACACACAGCTCCCAGCATGTCAGTCGCTCCCAGTGGTACTGTCAGAGCACTACAGCCAGCCACCTTTGAATTACACCCTAAGGCAACACCAGCAAATACCATGGGTGTGTCTAGACTACATCTCTCTGTCAACAGAGATGTAGATTAGGCACATCGAAATTGCTAATGAAGTAGGGATTTAATTATCCTGCGATTCATTAGCATAAACATGGCCACTGCTTTTTTTTTTTTTTTTTAAATTGAGTTTTTTCGGGAATAACCTGCAGTCTAGACACGGATCTGTCGAAAATAAAGCCTTTTTCGACAGATCCTGTAAACTTCATTTTTTGAGGAATACAGGATCTGTCAAAAAGGGCTTTATTTTCCACAGATCCGCATCTAGACTGCCGGGAGGGGGGGGGGGGAGTTGTTTTTCAAAAAAACTCCGTTTTGGAAAAAAGTGGTGGCCATGTTTATGCTAATGAAGCGCGGGATATTTAATTCCCTGCTTCATTAGCAATTTCAATGTGATTGATTTGCATCCCTCTGTCGACAGAGAGGTGTAGCCGAGACGTAGCCCCCGCCCCCTGGCAAAGCATGTCTAGTCCTCCCAGCCCTCTTCTCAACCACACAGCCCCACAGAAAGTCCGTCACTTTATTAATAGAAAATGACATGCACAAATCCTGTTAGCCCAAACGGAGCTTGCTCCTGAGCTGAGCCAGCAGAGGTATGGGAGAGTGAGTCAGACTTCCCAGGGCATTGTGTGTAGCCAGGAAACCACTCAGCTGCGCTCAGGCTTGTGAATGCAGCCTGGCTGGAAATCTATCGCTTCTCCATTGCTTTCCAGCTTTGGAGTCTGCTCAGCTGCTCGCTAACATGTAACCTCAGAACCGAGTGTCTGACACAGGCGTCACCCAAGAGGAGAACTCGGGGACCCATCCAGCTGTAATTTTCAGTGGCCTTCTCCGATTATAAGACGCTCCTGCCTGCTGTAGTAGTCTCTTCATTGACTTAACTCGCCCTGTGGTCAGCTTTGATTTGCACACGCCAATTCTGTGTTTCCACCCATTTGTACATTAGAGAGACCAGGTGGGTGAGGCGATGGCTTTCATGGACCAGCGTCAGGTGAAAGAGACAAGCTTTTGAATTCACAGAGCGCCTCTTCAGGTCTGGGGAAGGCATCACAAATATCCACTAGGTGGCGAGGTGAGACGTCATCATGAGGGTTCGTTATGGAGCTTTCATTAACACAGCGGCCCTCCTGCAGGTCTGAACAAGGTCAGACTCCAGAAAACACAGCGCGGGGGGGAGCTTTTTGGGAGGAGGAAACTAGTTTTTAGCTGTAGAGAATCACCAGTGGTTCCCTGAGCCTGTCTCCAGACAGCTGCTGCCATGGGCTGGAGTGAGTTGGCACTTCTTTTGTGACCGTATGAGCTTGTCCACACTAGGGCTGTGTCTAGACTGCATTCCTTTTCCATAAAAGGGATGCAAATTAGACGTATCGCAATTGAAATGAAGCAGGGATTTAAATCCCCCCC